CTGTCCTGGTACTGTGTATATATATATATATATATAAACACCTATCTCAGATAATTTGATCACTTTTGTTTGACAAAGCATTCAAACACAGGTTTCTACAGAAGTGCTGTGATAGTTAGTGGCCTTGGTTGCGATCTTCATGTCACCTAGCTGATTTCTGTATAAATTTAATTTAATAATTCTATACCAAACGAAAAAAAATTTTTTTTATGCGACACTCTGTGTTACTGTTTCTACTAATCACCTCTCCCCTACTCTACATCTGTTATCTAGTGCCTTTCAACAGTTTGGTCTGGGAGTGTCTTTTTGGGGGGTTCTGAGGCTGCTTCTCCCAATGATCCAGGACATTCTGGAGAGAATTTAGACTCTATTTTTCTGGTACCTTCATTTACTAGGTCGGTCCTCTCACGAGGTCAATTTGGATCAGCCACCTCTTGCTGCATTTCTTCAATTAGTCAATTGGGTTTGTGAAGTTTTGGGCTTTCTCTGGTTGCCTTTGATTCTACTCCTTCCTTGAATGTGGAAAGGTCTGAGGGTAACTAATTAGTTTTTTCCTCCTTCACCTGATACTGCTTTTCATGCTGGGAGGTTTACTGCTCAGTTATGTGATCTTATAGCTATGCCTTGTCTCCCACGTTTGTCAGAGCAGCATGCTTGGACTTACCACTACCAGGAGAATGTGTATTTAGATTCCCAGACTTGATCCTCTTTTGGACATATTGGGCTCAAGACTGGACCCTGTGGTCATTTAGAACAGATCACAATTTTCTCAAATCCGTCTGACCCTCGCTACTGTTCTGAAATATTTATCTTTTCTCCAAATTTTATTGGAAGCCTCATAGCATCACCTCTCATCAATTGGATGACGAATTGGGTCCTTTGCTGACTTCTACCATGGTAAGGTTAGTAGCTTCTGCTCTTTCTTGGTTTCTTGACTTGCATGTTTTTGAGACTTATTGGGTAGAGATGCCTTGTTGGAGGGGGTTTGTCTATATGTTGCTGCCCTCTGTGAGTTATGTGAGGCTCTTTGATGTTTGCAAGTGTTCCAGAGGCATTGGTATCACAGATTGATGTTGCCCCTTTGCATTCTTCCATGTCATCTTTGGCCTCTAGACTTTCTTTGGCTCCTGCTGGAAATCATGGCATGACTACTCATCATGTGTCCCGACTCCCAGCATCAGCTCCTCGATCTATTGTCACTCAGAATGGATTCCATATTTATCTTAGAGACTCCTCCACTTGGGCAGACTGTCACCAATGGCATTGGTGCCTACCCTATGCTGGTAGGGTCTGTGGGAGCAAGGTTATAACATTTTTTGGACATCTGGAATTCCTTCACCACAAATATAGGGGTACTTCAGTTTCTGGCATCAAGGTTGGTCATTCAGTTCACATCTCCACCCCATTATCCTCCCAACCTGTGGTATTTCCACCCTCAACAGATCCGTGGAGTGTGGATCTACATTCCAAGGCTATCATAGAGTTGTTGGCCAAGGGAGCAATAGAGAGAGTCTATCTGTTGTTCCAGGATTTTATTCCCATTTATTTGTTGTGCCCAAGAAGATGGGAGATTGGCATCCGATCATCGATCTTTCTCGTCTCAACCAATTCTTAGATCCTCCCAGGTTCACAATGGAACCCTTTTTCAACCTACATTGGCATTTTCCACCAGGAAATGTTGCCAATGCATGTCTCCACATTCCCATAGTGAAATCATCCCACAGCTATCTATGTTTCATGCACAAGGATCAGGTTTTGCAGTTCAGGGCTCTGCCCTTTGGCCTAGCATCCTCACCATATGTCTTCTGTAGAGTTGTACAAGCTTTTTCTCATCACCTTCATTCTTTGGGCTTGTGCAAACACCATTATATGGACAACTGGTTACTTCTGGTATCATCTCGTCAGTTGGTGGAACAACATACCCAGATTCTCCTTTCAGAAGCCACCAAGGCTGACTTTCTTATCAGAGCCAAGAAATCCATTCTCCTGCCGATTCAATACGTTGTCCATCTGGGTGTCTTTTTCAACATGTATTTAAGTCGGGCTCAGCCAACTCCAGGCTATGGAATGGGCAGTCAGGCTCTTACTCGCATCTCTTTCTGCTACTGTGTGGATGGTTCTCTCTCTTTTGAGGATGTGGGCATCCCTCAAATCTCTAATTCCTTTGGGATGAGTGCACGTGCAGTCCCTTCGGTGGTTGCTGCACGACCAATAAATCATGAACTACGATCCACTGGATCATCTAGTCTCCTTACTCAGGAGCAACATCTTAGATCTCGAGTGTTGTTTGAAACGAAAAAAACACTACCATCAATGTTCCTATACCACTCTCTTGTCCCGAGATTCATCTCTTCATAGATGCCTCACTTCAGGGATGGGGTGCATATATTGACAGTCAGCAATTCCAGGGTCCATGGATGAACGATGAATCTTCCATCCACGTCAATATTTTATAACTTTTTGCTGTCCAGTGGGCAATGGTTCAAGGTCTAGCTCTAATGAAGGAGAACATCATCATGATTCATTCAGACATTTCCAAGGTGGTATCTTACATTTCCCGTCAAGGGGACATTCATTCTTCGAACCTTTGTTTTCAAACTTTGATATTCTCTACTGGGCTCTCTCCCATTATTTCAGCCTTTTGGCTTGCCAGGTTCCAGGGGTGATTAATTTCATAGCAGATCACTTGTCTCGGCTCACCTTAGTTCTCCCCTGACCGAATGGATGCTCCATTGTGAGGTTTTCCAGTGGTTTTGCTCTCAGTTCAGGACTCTAATGATCGATGCATTTGCCACTCATTGGAACTTTCAACTACAGGTACTTCATCCTCGAGCTTTGGCAATAGATGCATTCAATCATGATTGGATGGGATTGTGCCTCTATGCCTTCCCCCCTGATTCATCTGTTACCCAGAGTTCTGGTTATGATTCTGTCCATTCTTTGTCGAGCACTGTTGGTTGTCTCTTCTACAGTATCTTCAAGGGTGTCCACCTCTGCCACTTCCTCTTTGGCCATCTTTGTTGAGGCAACCTCGATCTGACATTCTACACCCAGACATTCCAAACTCAAAAGTAGACAAAGCTAGACCTTTGTCAAAAAGTCAGATTAAAAAATGAGATATGGTGGGCACACTTGGGTGAAGTGGGTTCAGTTTCCTCGTAAAACATCATTGGCGATAAGTGTGCTATTTCCATTGATAAATGCGTCTAAGGATAGATTGAGACAAATACAAGGCAAATTTAGAAGTTTATCCCTGATGCTGCGTGCAGGACTGCATAACTTCCATACAATACATGAAAGTTGCTTTATTGACTACTTTTTTGGTATTCTAAACATTGGAAAGTATTTGAGTCCCCAGTGTTATCCAGCCTTATCAAATCATTTCACATCCTTCATCCCAAAAGGCCTTTTCAATTACCTAACTGTAATATTAAGGTGGTTATTACATGCTTTGTCTCAACATCTATTTGAGCCTTTACCCTCATGTACTATGTATCACCTTTCTCTTAAAGTATATTTTTTGTTGATGCTGGCATGTGGATGTCATAGGTTGGAGTTGTTTGCACTACATGTGCACAGGACTCTTTATCGCTCCACTTATAACCTGCTATACTTTGATAGGTCTTTTCTTCCTAAGACTCTGGCAGCTATGGAAGGGATAAATCCTTCTTACCAATTCATTTGCAGCTATTTCTCACCTCTATGACCAATTGGACCTTGATCGTTTGTTATGTCCTGTCAGAGCCCTTAGGTGTTATGTGGCTCACACTAATTCCTTTTGAGGTGTAGAAGTCAACTCTTTATTCATTGGGATCCTTCAGATTCCCATGATTTATCCTTGATTACCTTGACGAGGTGCCTTCACAAATTGATCCATATTGCTTATTCTGGAATTTCTTTACAGCAAGGAAACTTTTGCAAGTCACATCTCATCAAATTCTTCACATTTCTATGTCTTTAGCTGCCTGATTGGGTTGCCTGTTGGAGGACATCTGTGCGTGCTGGTATGTGGACTTCTCCCAATATTTTTCTCTCACATTATTTATACAATCAGGTATTTTCTTATTCTGAGGGGTTTTGTCTACTCCCTGTGGTCGTTTTGAACACATTTGCTAGATTATAAGGAGGGATGAGTATTTTTTTTCCCCTCCTTTTGTCTCGTTACTTTCCGGGGTCCCTTACCTCCTTTTTATTTCCACTAGATCCCACTCTGTGGTGAGTGTTTTCCATACAGGTATGCTTTTATCAGTCTAGTTCTGCACTAACAACCAATTTTTGCTATACTTACTACCGGTTGCAACAGGCTCTGTAGAAATGAGGTGTTCCATAAGACCATCTAGGAGCTCACTAGATGATATTACCATACTATGCTGGACTATCATGAGTAAAGCTAAAGGGTATCCTGCCCGTCCCTGCCGATCATTGGATTGAATAAATTGGGGTCAGTTTATTTTCAAAAATTTAGGGGACTTGGTTCACCTATTGCACTGTTTCCAGGACACTGTTCCTTGGGACTCCCTAATTTGCATTACCTCCCTGATTCTACTAGTGGAGCTAGGAAGTCCTTAATACACCCAGTTTCCAGTCATTAGGGTGGTGGACAGAGGTTTTTTCTCCAAAGTGTTAAGAGTGAATTTCCATCCCTTTTGAAAAAGAGGGTGAAATTGAGGGTTGTCCTACTCAGGTCCTTATATGTTTTTCCCAGATGTTGATAGGAGTGGCACTACCTACATGGGAGCCTACTCGTAATACTGGTTAGATTTGATGCTCAGCTATCTGGTTGAGGTGTGCATGCCCCTTCTTTTTGATCAATATTGGTTCAGTATATTGTTCATGGAAGGAGGTCCTCTATCTTCTCGTAATTCCGAATGTGGAGTGGTCCCATCATGGGTCCTTCATTGAGCACAGTTGTTCCATGTCCCCCCCCCCCCATGATTCCAGGGGCAAGTGGAAGGCTCCTTGTCCACTCAGTTGGGGAGTGAGGATGAATGTTCATAATTCCAGACTGGATGAGTTTTGTTCCTTTGGTTGAGTAAGGCATACACAATCCTGTCATTCTGAGCCTGAGGTGTTGCCTTTCGGGCTTCTTTGTTCCCTTTGGTGTTACTTTTTTATTGTGATTCTGCTGGTTTGGAATGCATTACTCTATAGCTACAGGTTGGGATCCAATCAAATTTATATTTATATATAATGTAGCTATCCAATTGCCCTATCAACCAACATTGGATATAGGAACCAAGTATCCTTAATTCCAACCCCGAGTAGTGTAACCTCAGCTATCTGCTTGGGGCTGGCCTATAGTGATGATCACTCATGTACAATTCCATCCTTGATACGGAAACTAAGTTCAGGATGGTACACCCATGATCTATGCAAATGCTTTTTGTATGGATAATGCCCTCACTGGCCCCTCCACCTTCTCAGTATGGGATTCTAGCTATAAGTGGCAGCAGAGGTAAGTATGTGTTGGAAATGAACATTATTCTAAATTGAAAATGTATTTCGAATAATACTTACATCCACTGTCACTCTCCCACCCTTCCTCCCACAAAGAGCCAGTGTTAGAGATTGGGATAGTATCAGTCTCATAAAAGTGATAAAATTATCTGAATGAGGTGCTTATATACAGTACCATGATAGAAGGCTCATTAACATAGGTGGAGAATATCATGTGACAAATATCACCAAGGGTAAATGAGTGTGGTATAAAAGACTGGTGCAAGCAAGAAAAAATGAGACCACTGCTTAGATGGGCAAAGAAGAAGCCCTGGTGGTCAAGTAATAGCTATAAGTGTCAGCAGAGGTAAGTATGATTGGAAATACATTTTCAATTTAGCAAAAATGTTAACTTTTAATGGATATCTCTTTAATTAATAGACTTTCATGTAATGAATGGCTACTTTAATGTTCTCTTAACATGACACAACTGATGTAATTACTAAGTTATAATCAATAGTTTCTAAAAGTTTTTGAAGAGTTTTCTAACTATCTAGGCTATTATGTGTTTGTTATAGGAATATGAATAGAAATTTTAGAGATGAAATGAATAATGGTGAGTGATATTAATATCTTCTGAGTATTAAGAAGAAACTTGGAGATAATAGTGGAGCTCCCCATAATTGTGTAAAAGTTTTTGGTATACATTATTTCTGTTTTTATAAATGAATCTAGTTTTCTTCATAGAATTTGGTTCTAGAAAGAGATATAGTTGTAGCTTCACAATTATAATTTTTTCTGTTACTCTGAGTTTTCATAGCATAAAAAAGTCAACATCGAGAATATCTTGGACTGTTTCAAAAATTTTTGATCTTTGTTTTTGAAAGTTTTTTTTTTTCAATGTTGTGCTCATGTTATTCTTTATGTAATTGTATCTTTTTTACAACTGTCAATAACTGTACTAGTTGTAAATTTTGCTAATTTGAAACTTTAATGTCCAAAAATAATTTTTTTTTTTCAAATTTAAATCTTTTCATAATTTTTCATGTTTCAACATTTAATAATTTGTATATTGTTCTGTGAGTAAAAACCTCAAATTCAGTGCTTTATTCCCAGATGGAAGAATATCCGGACACTAAAGAACCAAAAGTGGAATTTCTGGAACATTTTATCACTTCTAATATTCCAACAAATAATTCAGTAAGGTTTATACATCTTTTATTTAAATTTTTTTGGTTGTCAATAATGCCATTAAGATTACATTGTAAAACCATCTGTAGACACAAGTTAGAGATGAGTTAGAGATACTCATTTCCAAGTAAGATGCAGCAGAAATCTAAATGTGTTGAATTTTATATATTTATCCTTTTTTGTGTTGTGATTAATCTTTTTGTTTTATAGTAACTCCGATATTATACAATGAGTTGAATTGCTGTCTGTACATTTATGTATTTTTGTTGGTGTCTTTGATTCTTTGTTTGTAATTTCACAAAATTTTAAAGTAATCTTCTATTCTTTTTGATGACATTTTCTTTTAATGGAAATTGTTTAAGAATGAAGACCACAGGTATTGTGATGTTCCAGATGCCATAAAACTATATTCCTTTAGCTGGCTTATATAAGGCCTAATTAATTTATAGCCAAGACTTTTTATAGACTCACATTCAAAATTTAATTCAACTACTTTATTTTCAATGGATACAAATAAACTTGGTATCAAAATGTAGTTAATAAATCAAGTCTTACTGTTATATAAGTTTTAATTTCAAAAGGAAATATTTATATACATTCTCAATGTCTCCTTGTTTGTGTAATATGAAATTTGTTTGCTCCAACTTGCTCATTTTCTTTGATATCCTGAGTTCAATCTAAATTACCTACTACAGTTTATATATTACTAAGGTAAAGTCTAATTTTGATAGCCTTCAATCTTCTTTGTTTATGGAGATATAGATAAGAAAGACTCACTTGCAATGCCCTCCTATTACATCCTCTCTTTCACAAATTGCCAATAATTCTTTGATGTTTGATATTATGTGTTTTGTGCATGTTATTATTGTGTTCTTAATTGCATAATTGAAATAAATAAAAATTATTTCATGTACTAGTAACATCATCACAAAAAGTAGGCTTAAGTTTCATTGGTAGGCCTAAAGCAAAAAAAAAAGACCAATCATAATTTCTAAACTTATTTTTTGTGTATATTTTTTACTTATTATTATAAAAGTAACTAAAGTGTGAATATTAGGAACTTATTAGGTTACTTAATGAAAAAATAATACTAATAATTTCTTCATGAGGTGTATTCGCAAGGCATATAGTTCAATACTGTAACTTATATTATGTGTTTGCTGTGGGATTTAGTTTTTTTCATGGGATTATTTGTTATACACAGCTCAAAAAGCAGTAAAATTAAGTAAAAAATGTAATCTGCTATGAGAATTAGCTGTTTAGGGTAAATGATTGTATTTTTTTGTTGCAAACTGCAGTCATTCTAGAAAAAAAAGGTAATTTAGATTTATTTTGTATTTTTTGTGGTGGTTACAGATTTGGAAAAATCAACCAAGTCTTATAAAGTAAGGATAGAGAAAATAACAAAAACAACAACAAAGCTTTACTGAAAAAACTTGATACTCAATTCGGAGATTTTAAAGGTTATGCAAATGTAAGATGAAAAGAAGTATTTTTAACCTTAACATGAAAACCACCTTGCATTCGGACTATTCATGGACTGAGTCACACCCTGACTCAATATATTCACAGAGAAATCTTTAGTAAAAATACTTAATTAAAGATATTATTTTTTGTGGACAAAAGTCTTAGTGTTTACTAAAAGCTTGCAAAAGTTTGTGGAGATACACTTACTGTGTTAAAAGTTATAGTACGTATAATTTCATGGTTGTATAAAAGATGCAAGGTCAGTAAAAATGACTGAGCTGGTAAAGAAAGAGTTAAAACAAGAAAGATGTGTAAATTTTTATCTCATCATTGTATCATGACACATTTCATCGAAGGTAGAGAAAATTGTTCATTATGTTAAGATTTTTTAAACTAAGGAGTGTTATTTTATTCTTATTTTAAAGGTTATTGTGTTGGTGCTAAAGCTTATTTTAAAAGTTGTTAGTTGTTTAACATAATGACATTACATTTCATTAGTTTGTTTGGAGTAGTGCTGGAAGAATTCTCAAATATTACTTGGTCAATGGTCTCCTGGTTGTGAAATCCACATTATTATCTACACAACAAGGACACTTGATTTTGTAAATAGCAGATTTCTGGGAAGTACATCATTAGTTTAGTCTGTAAAGCTAAGGATGAGTAGCAGTTATAAAATTTGTGATTCTTTGATTTTAGATCTTAAGCTGTTTGTGAAACATCAAAATTATTTTTCTATTTCATCTAAAATTGTAAACTTGTTTATATTTTTTATCATTATGGTGTGTATGTGGGCATAATGCTTCACTATGAAAAAAAAAGTAGATGTTAAAGTCATTCTTATATCCCCTACCCCTCTAAATGTTATAAAAACTTTACAGAAATAAAATTGGTTTAGTAACTGAAATGAACCTTTTTTTTTCTAATATAGTGCTTCATTTTTGTATAAATGGTTAACTAATAAATATTCTTTGCCCCTTTTTTTCATCTTGTGATGTGACATGTTAATTAACTCATAGCTTACAAGATGCACCTCCTCCTTTTAGCAATTTTCACTTGTACTTACTTGCATAATATTATCTCTTACAGTATGTTCCATCAGCAGAGGTAACTCCTTTTATTCTAACAAAGGAAATGTGTGTCAATCTGCAAGGAATCAAAACATTTTTCCACAATTCCTTGCAGATTGACACACATTTCCTTTCTTACACCTCAGATTTTTTTATCATGACAATACAAACAACTTTCTTGCATACCACAGGTGCTGAACGTGGATCTTGAAACTATCCTCAACAACCAGCAATTACTTTTTCCTTTTATGCAGTTTTTAAAAGAGCATGCTGTGGTGAATATTTTACAATTCTGCCTGAGTGTTGGTAAGTTTTATGAACAAGATCTCAACTCCATACAATTTTATACATATTTTCCCCTAACTTATAAGTTATCCATGGATGTAAAATTTCACTAGTTTCATGTTTAGGACTACCAAATTTTGAGCTCTCGTTACAGTGAATTCCACCTGTCCAAGCCCAGAAACAATGTGATTCTATTTTTATGAAATGTGTGCATGAGTATTAAATCCAAATTGCAATTTATTATTAAAATTTACAAAAATGATCTATCTTGTTATTTTTCTCTTTCAAAATGAATATCTATTGTCAATAAATATTTTGTAAGATTGGTTGCCTGTTCATCTCAGGAGATTAAGCCTGATATAGAAATATATGTTTGTGACTCATTTAACTTGTAAACTAAAATGGCCAATTCTTGATTATTTTCATATTTGTAGCATTGCACTTTCTAACCTGCGTAGTTTTTTTTTTCTGGGTTTAGAATAGTTATTTTTTATTGCATGATTTTATTGATATAAGATGACTTGGAACTTCACAGGTTTTAGTACATTTCTCATGCCTGTGACACGAACCCTAGCTACCAGACTCAAGGAGCATGTGGAAAATGGCCCTTCAAACAACTCTGAAATTTACAAACATCTAAACAAAGACTGTACCAAAAAGTCAAATACTGAACACTTTAAAATAATATAATCAGTGACATATGAATGAACATTAAGGAAAAAGGAAGTGCTCCTAATTCGAAATATAAAACGAAAACTAAAGAACCAGCTAACAACACCACTACATCTCAAACTGTGATAAACTTATCATGCCTGAGATTGGCAAAAAAATGAAAACATTGAAACCTTCATCAAACAGTCCTATCTCAAATGCATCTAAATATAGGATCTGTGTTAATACCTGAAATGCATAATCATTTAATCTAAAGTTTGCAAGATATGACCTATGCTGGACTATGTTCTCAAAGCTAGACTATTTCTTATAGATAACTTTTGAACTGTGTTATTAAAGCTAGATTCTTTCTTATGGATAACTTTTAAACTGTGTTATTAAAGCTAGATTCTTTCTTATGGATAACTTTTAAACTGTGTTATTAAAGCTAGACTCTTTAAGTAATGTTAAGGGACAACAAGCAACCTATTGGTCTATCTCAGCTGTCCCATTCTCTAAACTAAACTAAATTATTAAAGAAATTTAAAGAAAAATCTTAGCCAGCCCTTATTACTAATTTTACTTAAATTTACTGCCTCCACAACATCCAAAGGCAACACATTCCAGAGGCTAAACACCCTGTTAGAAAAATATAACTGTTCTATCTGAAGATGACTCCTAGCTTGCCAAAATTTATACTTGTGTCCTCCAGTTTTAGATAAAAACTGTTATCAAAGCTAGACTCTTTGTTATAGATACCTTTTAAACTATGTTATCAAAGCTACTCTTTGTTTTAGAAATAACTTTTATCAAAGCTAGACTCTTTGTTGTAGATAAAATTATATTATCAAAGCTAAACTCTTTGCTGTAGATAACATTTAAACTGTGTTATCAAAGTTTGGTGCTTTGCTCTAAAGAAGTTTAAACTATGTTATTGAAGCTAGACTCTTTGTTGTAAATATTTCTTAAACTATGATATTAAAGCTAGGCCCTTTGTTGTAGGTAAGTTTGAAGTGTAGTATACCTAGTTCTTATTCTTTGTGAGATTATAAATGTATTGTTATCATCTTTTAAAAGTAAATGTTTTACTTAGTGAATATAAACCGTTTTGCAACAAACCTATCATTAGAAATGTTAAGCTAAAGTCTGTTCTCAGTCAGGCCATACTTGTAGCAGTCTCTGCAGATTCATCTCAAGGCATTTTGAATATACATGTATACGATATAAATACTTGTTTATAAGCCTGGAACTAATTAATGTTATTTTTTATTTTAGTTTCCAATATGCATGCCTGACTAAGCAATTTAAATGGTTAGTTTTCTTTAACATTATGACAACCGGTGTAAATGACATAATTAAGTGGAATGTTTTCATGTGGACAAGTATTAATATTTTTTTTACTAAAGATGTAAAAGAAATTATATAAGGGAATAGAACACTATGGTGAGGTATTATTTCCAAATTCTCCTTCTTGTTTCTTATATTGCCAGTTTAGATGCTTTCCCAGGCTAAAATATTGCTTGCCTTCATATCTAAATTCTCACAAATTTATTCATCAATTGGTCAGATGATTTCAACCAGCGCAGCATGAATCCTGATATGACAACCGAGCAATTGACAACACTCCATAAAGAAGCCAAAGCATTGTATGAAACCTACTTTGTACATGATGCTGTTGATAAGGTCAGCTTCGATGAAGACATTGTACATGAGATAAAGGCTAGTAAGTTTTCATTTTTTGTGTGCTTTTTGGTTTATTGAATTAGTTATCTTTGCTTCTAAAATTTGAAGTGAAGTATAGATTGTAATTCTGTTGTTTTAATTATCTCGGTAAAGAGGATTTTTTAAAAATATATTCAAGATGGTCATGAAAAAAATTGTTTAAGTTTTTAATTGTGTTGTTCAAATGGGAATTAGAATAATTGATAGTTATAAATATAGTTATAGATGTATTGGTCTACATTATTTTAATATGCAGATTTTATAAAATTACTATGAAATACAAGTTTTAAATGTTATACAAAAAATTGCACATTGTTAGGGTTTTAATAATTGTCCTCTTATGGACAAGATATATTTTTTTCTATGTAAATGCTGGAAGCTTTTTTCAATTTAAAGTTTTTTTAAATGTGATTTGAATTTTTTCATACCATCTGAGTGATATTTATGTAAATGAAAAATAGAGTAAAAAAATTATTTGAGGTATACACCTATTCAAAAATCTTATCTAATCAAAACATTTTAGTAACATGATTAGGCCTATTTTTAGTAATGAGATGTAATGGCTTTATTAATCTAATAACATGTATTTTTTTTTACTTAAATAAATACAAGCTCATAGTTACTTGTCTGTTTAATTTCAAGAACTAACAATATATCTGATGCTATTGAAAAGATTAATTTTTGTGTTTTTCTTGATATTTTAAGTTGTAGATGGCCCAGTAGAGAATGTCATCAAACTTCGAACTACATCTCCTTTGTTTAGAGCCTATGAGTATGCCTACAACTTGCTAGACCAGATTTATTGTCCAATATTTCAGCACAGTGATAATGTAGGTTTTACTCTCTAATGCATTAGACTTTTAGTATAGTTTTATTAATGTAATCTTTAGTTGCTTGTTTCTGTATTACAAGAATTGACCTTTTTTTTGTTGGAATTGAAGAAATAGTGTTTAATCTTGTCTTCATAATCATACTATTCCAGGTCTTCATTCTTGCTCACTTTATGAATGCTGCACATAAGGTACTTTGCCCTTATTCTGAAACTTTTTAAAGACAGACTTTTATTATGTGGTTTTAATATGTGATTTGTACATGTTCTTTCAATGAAATGAAAGAGGCGTAATATTCTCCATGCAATTTTCACATCCAGTAAATAACAAGTTTTTGCAAGAAATACAAGCAAATTCATAAAGCAGTCTCTTTTTGAAGATCTTTGTTGACCTTGGTATTACTTCTCCATTGAGGCTTCCCTGAAATTTTATCTTTGAGTTATTTGTGCCAATAGAAATGGTGGTAGCAGAAATTTATTCTTAATTACAATAAAGTACTTACTTTGTAGTTGCATACAGAAAGTTCCATAACAAAATTTTACTACTTGTGTTATATGCTGACTTTCTCTCTTGTGTTCACTTTTCCATTTGGCATCCTTATGTTTTTTGGGGTCAAAGCATTGCCACCAGATGGTTGCACATTACAGGATATTCATCAGTAACTGACTCACAACACCAGCACATTCTCTGCATTCTTAAGAAAGTTTCTTGTTAGTGGTCTTGCCTTTTCATCTGTGTGGAAACTGAAATTATAATATGGTCAAATATGCCCTGCCAGGTCATATCACAATGGCATCATTCTCTTTTCTACAAGCATTTCTTCCTGATTTGTTTGTAGCTGGCATCCAGATTGTAAGGCACAAAGTGGTAAATCACACATGAAATAGATTTTTGATACTTTATGTTTTCATTTGGCCACAGTTCCTGATAACCATCAAAACAGGTTAAGTGACCCAACATTTGACTTCAAGATAATCTCAAATGAAGTGTCATCACAACTTCTTTAAATCATATTTTGAATGTCATCATTAAATCATAAAAAAAAAAGGTTTTTCACTATTCAAGTACTTGTTTTTTATCCAGAGTTTGTAACAGCTTCCACCATTTTACCCTTCTCAGTTATAACTGCTACATGAATAAGTGGCACACAATCACATTGTGATTTTGTAGGACATATTCTTCCTCAACGGTTCAGTCTGTTTGCTGGTGTCAGTCCATGCTTAATCATCTTGACTCAAGGATGACCCTTCATTTGGTCTTAACAGCTAACCTCTATCATACTTCTGATTGTAATTTTGCAAAATAGTGAATGTCAGGGTGCTGTGAATGAGCGTCTTATTGATGCCAGATGACTTTCCCTAGAACTGTCTTCACAAACCATTTTTTCTTAGAGGTATAAGTATGTTTTGAGAAAGAAAATGTAAGTACTGTTTATAGCAATGTAAAGCTTTGTGTGAAAAGTGCAAATTTTCTCAGTCTTTCATTTACAACAATTTCGGTAATTTCGAATGAATCTAAGTTTCAAATGGACAGCAACTGCCTGTTGTAGAAACCTACAAATGTAGAGGACGCCGTTTTTAAAGTCTTTCGCCTTTCTTTAAGGCGAAACATTCGAAACATCGTCCTCTATATTTGTAGGTTTCTACAACAGGCAGTTGCTGTCCATTTGAAACTTAGATTCATTGTGAATACGCTGCCTAAACAACCTATCAAAGATTTCAGTAATTTCAGTGCAACTGTTGTGCTGATGACTGGCGGTTATCTTCAGCAAATTGATTTCTTGACATTTTTGTTTTAAAATCTCAAATGAGGATTTTCCACAAGAATGTTTTCCATGGGTATTTTGCAATTGATCATTACTCTTGCAAGCAAGATTGAGTCAACTTTTTTGCTTTGAGCTTGGATTTAAATTTGCTTAATTCCTTTTTTTCCCTTTAGGAACTCCTGTTCCTCTCATCAGTTAATCAGAGAATTACATCTCTTGTAGAGACAGTTGATCTCATGATCCAGTTTATTATGTTTTCACTAAGTACACTTTACATGAGAACTTTAACTTTTAGAATCTTCAAGAACATGCAGTTATAGATCACTGTCATTCTGTTTATCCATTACAGTTTTTCTGTATTTAACAAAAGTTGAAAAATTGTAGGGTTGAACTTTGTTTAGTTGGACTGCAAACAAACAATTGTCATTTAAACGTAAAGTAATAAATTAATAGTACAGAAGGTATGCCACATGTGTTTAATAAACCAGTTTGATAGCATTAAACTCTTCATAATAAAATCTAAATGATGAAACCTTTTTGTAATAAATGGTTTGTTTAATAGTTGTATATTTAATCAACTCAGAATAGGTTTCAGGGCTGTAGTCAAATATGTAGTAATATAATTAATAGTGAGTTAAAACAAAGTATTTATGCTTATTGCTGTAAACCATTGTTTATGTATTTTTTCACAGTACATCTTAAATTAGACCTATTTATGGTACATACAAGCAGCTATATGGTGAATTGAATCCTTTTGTCAATATGTTTTAATATAATGACAAGGTTATCATTTATTGTTGCTTGAAAGTAATTTTATCACATTATACTAAGTATTGTAATAACATACACTGTTTTAAAAAAAGAGAAACTTACCTATTCAGTAATGTAAAAATTGTTTATATATTAAGCCTAGGTTTGGGCTTACTGTAGTATTAATTACCTATCCTGAGAAAGACAAAAGCTTGTCTTTTTAAATATATATATATATGTATACTTTTCTCATTCTTGTGTTTTCTATTTTATTTTGTTTTCTACATTTTCGTTTTTGTTGATCGTTTTCCTTGACTTGCTGACCACGTATTCAACATTTTATTATTTTCTTTAGGTAGGCTACTTTGTATGATGTAAGCATTAAATTATAAAATTTTTCTTTTGCATGCAAGTTATTTTGTATGCTAGTTAAGCCCACTCAGTAAATGATACAGATGCTATTTGCTGATTATTTTTTAAAGGTTATGAAATACATCATTCTCAGATCACTTCAGTGGCAATCAACAATGTTTTGTAGTTGAGATGGTTTTAACAATACATGTGAGAATTCCACTGATGTTCAAGTTTTTGAGTCCCAAACCCAAGGCCGATTTTCGTGTGGCCCACTCAAATGTCTGTTTAATTTATAAGCTTGATTCCTAACTTATCTTTTTAGCGGCATCTCAACTCGTTTGCCAATGGGGCCAGTCTGATGCCACCTTAGTTGCAGCTGCATAAATATATACTGAAAGAATTCTTCAATTTTTCTTTTTGAGCAAGTCATCTCAAAGTGACTTTTAGTGGTGCTGCTACAGTATGAAATTGACATACGAAACTTTTTAATGTAAGATGAAGGCAATTTTTAATTATTAGAGAAACTTGAATCAATTTTAGAACAGAAATGCCCATTGTGTATAGTGGATGCTGTTCTTTAAATTCAATGATTCATAGTCACAAAATTAGTGCTTAATTTAAAAAAAAAAAAATCTTAATTTGTTATTTTTAACAAAGGACATGTAACTGACTTGCACTTGCCCACCCTTCACCATCTGTAATGTATCACATAATACATAAATGCCCCCCATAGATAAATTGGTGTGTTAAGTTTGCCTTGAGGCAGAGTGACAAACACAACGATATAATATTTTTATATTAGAACAACATGTAAATGATTGTTTTTTTTAACATATAGTACTTTAGGCTTCTATGTGGGGATCGTTGTAGTGGATCTGGCCAACGGAATTTAACCAAGTATGTAAAAAGTCATCTACCTTTCTTAAGTAGTGCTGTTAGTGACACATGTGCATATCAATTTAAAGTTAATTAATAATAAGAAATTAACATAAGACACTTTTTCTTAGGAAATTACTAATGTTTAATTTGCCTGAAAAACAAAATGTCAGTATTTTTAAATTTTTTCCCTTGTTCCATTCGCAGCATTGTGTATCTTGTGGTAGGTCCTTCAGTAGAGTCTTCAGAATATTACTTAATTCATCAATGTAAAATTTCTCACCAAAAGCTTCTTCAATAAAGAAGCCATAAGCTGAAATTAAGCAATTTCAAGTGAGAAGTAAACTCATTGTTTTTCTTATCAATATGGTTTTTGTTTTTTTTAAATAAATGTTGTTGCATTTACAGAGCCAACAAAAGAGGAACTGGAGAGTCATCTGTCTCCAAACTTGGGAACAAAATCAAAGGAGTTTTTTGGACTAACACAGGTAGAGGGTGGAATTTTTAATAATTAGTGCCCTTAGAATTTCTTGTGTTGCTGGTGTGACAGGTATGAGAAAAGTGTACATGAGCTATAGTTTGAACCTAATTTTGGTAAAACTGAAATGCCTTAACTCTTTCCAGATCATTGAGCATCTTTCATGTGTCAAGTGCACACCTACGTATCAAATCTCAAAACTTAAGAAAACATAATAATTTTGACCCTGTCAGCATTTTTTGACTGAAAAATAATTTATAGTTAATGTTTTGGCATTTATTTAGTGTGATTCACAAAGAAAAAGGAAAACAAAATTTCAAATTTTCATTTATGAACAACTCTCGGAAGTCTTGCCTGTAAACAACACAGTTATTGATTGTTTTAGAATTTTTCTGCTCATCCCAAAACATATACAATCACGAAATTGATTGTATATATAAAATAAAATATTATAATTAACACTAAAAAACTAAATTTGTAAGGTGAAAGAAAGTATTTTTAATGTTTTTTTTTTTTTTCAAAACCATATCTCAACAGTTTGGAGGTTTTGCAAAATGTGCAAAACTGAACACAAGTTGGTTAGAATTTTCGTTTTCAATTACACAGTACACAAGTTTATGCACATAGACTTCACATACTAAATACTGATTCATACTTTGTGCTAAGAGAACAAATCATATTTCAAAATCTTCATGCAACCTGTACATTTTTCATTACTCAGGCTTAACAGTTTGACAGTTGCAAAGGAAAATAGAATGAACATTCTTTTCAAAGGTGGACCATGTAGAAGCTGAAATTACTATAATTAAATATACTTGAAACTATTAAAACTAATTTTTTTTTATTGTCTGTTGATGGAATTAGAATTTTTTCTTTATCTCATTTAGGAATTTGGCTATAATAATAATTTGTTTTTAGAAATTAAGTTCATTTTCAAAGTCTTAAGTTGTTTTAATGAAAATAACTTAAGCAGACACACACACTTATTTAAGTAAACAGTGTCATTGTTAGAATATAAAATGGGGGCTAAAAATTTGATATATCCTCTATATTGAGTATACCAGATATTCAGTATTTATGACTTGTGCTTACTCTATTTCATTTATCATTGATAGCTTGAAAGCGTGTTTTAAGTCATATTCATTATAGTGAATTCAAGTTTTAATGTCAGCTGTTTTACAAAATAATTCTTAATAATCAATATATATATAACAACAAAATGTTAGTAAAGAATTTTTTTAAAATACTTATGTTTATTTATTGATTTTGTGTCTTTGACAATTTATTTGGTTAAATATGGCTTTCAGGCAAATGACAGCAATGCCACAGGGAAAAAAACTACATTCTGCTGATGACATTTTGAGATACCTGTAGTCAACTTGCGATATTCTGCTGAGACTACACAATTTATAGTTGTTTGATAGCTACCCACACAACTGAAACATCAAAATCCTTCTCTAAGATCAAATCATGATTTTTGAATAACTTGGGAAAATTTACACTGTGATTCCCCTTAAAATGCTGTGATATATCAGACAAAACTGTGTGAAAACACTAAACATAAAAATACAAGTTTAATGATCAATTTGTAATTTTATCTGCATAGTAATGACATAAAAGGGAGTGATTGACATGATTTTATTATAGTTGTTTTGCCTTGTCATAGGTATGTTATTACAAATTGCAATTAAACTGCTTCCAAAAAATGATACAGACAGCTGAACATGACAGACCATCATCCACAACACACGTAGACAGCTGCTAACTGTTGTTTCTGTCATCACAGCTGGTCATAAAGTAGACACATCCATTAGACCAAAGATAGGTTGAGCAATAGTCTTTATACTGATGAATTGTGCTTCACCCTGCAATGAGATAATGTGTATTTATGTAGTTGAAGAGAACTTGGAACAAGGTCCAACTCCAATTTTCTACAGGAATGTTATCCATATGGTAACGATGGAAGTATGAAATGAACAGGAATAGAAATTGATGGGCATATAGACTTCTGCATTCTGTGGAATGGTACCATTAATACCACACATTATGGGAACTATATCTTATGATTCTTTGTACAAATGGGGGTTGACTTCGACTCAATGGTTAATGATGTCCATTCGCACCAAGTTAAACTTATTGACACATTTCTGAAATAATGTCATTGACTAAGTGGAGCATCCTATGTGCTCACCAATTTTCAATCCCATCAAACATTTATGCTTTTAGGAGATGTATTCTATCCAATGACTCTAGATACTAAAGACTTGCTGGAAATAATTCTTTCAGGGGAGTGTCTAAGGATACCTCAAGACCTTATTCACAATGTTTCCATGATTGTGTCAACCTGCTCTTGTTGTTTGTGATTAAACTCCATATTAAAATGTAATGGTGTAAAAACTGCAAAGATGTAAAATCCACCTTAACCAAGTGCTTGTTTACAAGCATAGGCTGTATGACCAACTAAACAAATGCAATTCAGATCACATGATAGGTTGTCAACTGCTTTATTTGCATAGAAATGAACTAATGATATTATTTCTAGCAATGGTTTTGCCTATTTTTTATTGCTATTATGTTTCAAATTCTAATAATAATTTCATTTGTTTGTTGTTGTTTTTTTTGCAGTATATGTATGTTTTCGAAAGCTATGGGTTTCTTTGATTAAATATCTCTCACTACCTCTGTAGATTTATACATAACCCTTCAAGATCATCTTTACTTTCTTACAGATGAAGGACGGGTGTTTGCTGAAGAGTCAGCCACAGATCTTGGTGAAGTTTTATTGGTGAATAATATCTAATACATTTTATTTTATTAGACACAGATATATATTGGACTGTTTTTTCAGTGATGATTCATTTTGTAAATGAGACGAAATTGCCTAAATACATAACTGTTTAAGTACTGTAAGCAAAAGTAATCATAAGTAAAATAACATTTGTTAAGTTTGAGTTGAAGAGTAGCTGTTTTTAGTATATATTATTGCATATGTAATTTCTTTATGGAATCAGATGTATGTGTTAAATTCAGTTTGCAATGATTAATATCTGTGAATCTAATGGAACTGATGAATAATTAGCAATGAGAGGGTAAAGAGGAAGCAAGTGTTACAGAGCTAGTTTCAGACAAAAATACAGCAATGTTAACAAAATTAGAAATTAAACAAGAACTAAGCTGAAGCCAATTACAAACTATGCAGAAAAATGTTGTGCAAGTGAAGAATGCAGTGAAGAATGTTGATGCATGTTTGGCAGAAAATGTTGAATTAAGAGT